TTGTCCTAAGTGTGAAAAACAATCATAACTCACTTATTTCAATGCCATTGTAACTTCAAACAGTCACTAAGCAAATAGCAGTAGCAATAACACTTAGACTTATATATCACTTTCCAGTGCTTTCCAGCCCTAAGTGTTGTGGTCTGCCAGCAGAGCCGGCAGCAAAGTCGGACGGTAGTGAGGAGGTTGGGGAGGAACCCAGGCCAGTCCTGGAGGCTGAGGAAGGCTCAGATGAGGGCTCTAATGAGAGGCAGAGATGAGGCCAGGGCAGGCTAACAGTCATCAGCTGCCTTCGGGCTCGGACAGCAATGAGGAGGAGGAGCTTCTGGAACTGGTTCCCAGCCTGCGCATGCGCAGAGCTGCCAAAAGGAAGGCACAATTAAGAACTCAGGGTCAACATGGAGTAAAGCCACAGGTGGACGATGAATGGCCCCTCTCATCAGGATTAAAAGAGAAGCAAAAGGGGAGGGAGCTTTTGCAGGAAACAACTTGCTTGTTCGTTCATTTGTCCGTTCATTCCAGCCTCGTGAAGATTCGTCTGTATAACCCAGCCCTTCCCTGTCATCACTGGTTGTGGAATTTTACTGGGCAGCATTCCAGGATTTATAAAGGTCTGAGCTAATTAATATACCTTTGCGAGACTTTTTGCCAAGCCGTTGGCTGACTGTGAATGAAATAAATTCACATTAATGTAATAAAAGAGGTTTTTGCTGGGACTCAGAATTGACTTAGTGCTTTTTGGGGAGGCCTAGGACAGAACACTAAGTGGTTTACAGAGTCATTACTGACCTCGGAAAGATGGAAGGCTGAATCAACCTTGAGCCTGGTGAGATTTGAACTGTCGAACTGCTGGCAGCCAGCAGTCAGCAGAAGTAGACTGCAATACTGCACTCTAGCCACTGCGCCACCGTGGCTCAGGGTTGTAAGCTGAGGACTATCAGTAGTAATGAGGACCGGGATTTTTTTTATCATTTCAGTTATGGCTGAGTAATGCTTTGAAGATGTTATATTGCTATAAGTCTCTTGGGGAAATGGCCAACCATTTTTCCAATGCCAATGAAATGGTAGCAATGTCTCCTGTTTTCTGAAAATCTCTCAATGTAAACTTTCATTCAATAGGACATTATATCTTTTATTGGCGATCCTTGAAGGTCTATTTTGAACAGCACCGTGTTTCAACCAGTAACTAGCCAAATGCATTTGGGGACCATGAATGTGCTTTTCCCCTTATTGCCTACCCCTGCCATTCAGTATTCATATGGAATTGAGCATAGGTTGTTTATTGACACAATTACTTGCTCAATGTTTATTGACAGAGCATAAAGGAACCTGAGGAGATCAGGTTAAAGCTGCTTTAGTCCAGTTTCTGTTATTGTCCAGCAAGGGATGTACTCAAGAGTTATGTTGCCTCTGATCCTAGAGGTCATCAGATCTAGCAGATACTGATAACCTGTTTCCATGAATTGATGCAGTCTCTTCTAAAGTCATATTAGTGGCCTTCACCCCATTTCTTGTTGGAAGGTCTTTAGTTTAGCTTTGCACCGTGTTAGTCAAATTCTGTACTTTAACTTTGACGATGAATTGTCCACAAGTTCAAACTCATTGGACAAATTCTAATATATAAGAAGAAATGGGGGAAACATCTGAGCATTTTGCATTATTCGATCCCTTTCTATCACTTCTCTCGTTAATAGCTTCTCCACTTTAAAAAGCCTCAAATATAGTCATCTTTCTATACCAGTGAGATAATCCCACCTTCTCACCATTAAGATTCATTTTTCCTTGCTCCGTAATTGCATTTAATTCTTTTTAAGAATAAGGATTTTTTAAAGACTGTTCTAAATACAAGGCTTGAGGCAGTCCGTTATGCAATTCTGCTGAGGCACAGTTATCTTTCTATTCACTCTGCACTTGCTGAACTTCTATACTTTGGCCTCCCTTCGGGGGAGAATATTGCTGCAAGTAAAACAGTTTCAACACAGTTAAGACAGGCCTACGTTTGTACCTTCATCATCGGCTTTGCTAATATTATAATGAAATCTTTGTTTGGTACAAATTTCAGTACGATCTGTACTATATTACATCTCCTTCCCTTGTAACAATGGTTCTGCTTATGTCTCCAACCCCTATGTATGGAACTTCTCTTTTGTTCCACCTTATTTTCAAGATACTTTTGATTGGGGCATTGGGAAGGGGTGGTTTTAAAAGGCAGGATGAGGTTTACATAAAAAGAATGGCCAGGCTTTAATTTCACGGCCACTGCTACTGTCCTGCAGATGTTGACCCTTATTGTGAATGCTGTGCTGTCACACACAAACTATGGGGCACAGGACCTGGTTGATGGTGTTGAGAAAAAAGTTGTCCAGATTATGCGCTTCAGTTGAGCGCATCTCAGTGGTGGTATTAAATTTTTTTTAACTAGTGGTTCTGTGGGCGTGGCTTGGTGGGCGTGGCAGGGGAAGGATGCTGTAAAATCTCCATTTCCACCCCACTCCAGGGAAAGGATACTGTAAAATCCCCATTCCCTCCCACCACACTAACCTGCTTTCCAGCTCCGTTCTCCTGTGCAGGGCAACAAAAGAAGACCCAGCCAATCAGCTGGGACTTGGGAGGCAGAGAATAGATGGGGGCGGGACCAGTCAGAGGTGTTATTTGCCGGTTCTCCGAAGTACTCAAAATTTCCACTACCAGTTCTCCAGAACTGGTCAGAACTGGATGAATACTACCTCTGGCGCATCTGATCACTGCTCCATTAGATTCTGTTTCTTGAGTTTCTTTCATCCACTCACATCTTTTTTTTTTACCCTAATTTTTCTCCAGGCTTCCATGAAGATAGAGGGAAGGAAGAAAGAAAAATTTTGCTGTATCAATGGGGAAGCACAGACCAATTTATGTTTATTTGCCTGATTTCTAAGAGCAGCGATTGCCCACTTTCAGTTCTCCTGTTCTACAGAGGTCATGTGAAAAACAATCATGTCACTTTTTTCAGTAATTTTGAACAGTCACTAAATGATTAGTTGTAAGTCGAGGACTTACCTGAATTCCTTATCCTCTCTAGAACTCTTGCTAAAGAGTACATCTTGACCTCCTTACTTACTCCTCCTTTCCACCTTGTCTCGGGGACCATCTGCTGTTTGTGCTTGCTCAGCATACTTCCTTCAGGACAATGGACTATTCTGTCCACCATCATCCATGTTAGACTAGAATAGAATAACAGAGTTGGAAGGGACCTTGGAGGTCTTCTAGTCCAATCCCCTGCTTAGGCAGGAAACCCTGTAGCATTTCAGACAAATTATTGTCCAATCTCTTCTTAAAAACTTCCAGTGTTGGAGCATTTACAACTTCTGGAGGCAAGTTGTTCCACTGATTAATTGTTCTGACTGTCAGGAAATGTCCTTAGTTCTAAGTTGCTTCTCTCCTTGATTAGTTTCCATCCATTGCTTCTTGTCCTGCCCTCAGGTGCTTTGGAGAATAGCTTGACTTTCTCATATGAAAGGTAGCAGTTTGATTTACATCTCAGGTAGGAAAATATTTGGGGCCATTTTTTTCTAGAAATGAAATTATTGTCTCTATTTTTTGGGGGAAAAACAGGAAAGGAAGGAAATAGTTGAATCTACTGAGATCTGGACTGCAAGAGGACAGAGCAACTTGGTATCCTGAAAAAACGGAAGAAGTATCCAAAGCAATGCACCTCTGACCCCTTCTCCCAAGCCAAATTAAAATATTTCCATTCATCCGGAATATGGGAACCATGAGATGTGAACAGAATGCAAACATTGCCTTGGCTGCTCTTGAATTGCTATTTAGCCGTCTTCCTTTCTTCCTCTCTTAGGGAGAATCCAAAGGGTAGAAAACACACCCAGGGCAAGCCTCCAGTTCACAGCCAACAGGCCGTTACTGTGACGACAAAACCTGCTTTTCTAAATACTGCAAACAAGTGCCTTCAGTCTCAGCTGCTGCAGCCATCTGCTGTGTGTGCTCAGCCTTTCACTTCTACTGAGAAATGACGACAGGTTTCTCCCCCCCCCCCCCAATGAGGGCTAGAACTGGGCCAAAGGTTGGTCAGGCCAAGGCATTTCGTAAACGGGACTTTAAAAAAATAAAACCATTGAGAAGACAGGAGGTCTGAAGAGCATCTACTTCAAACACTCATTAATTGAGCCAGTTAAATGATAAACCTTTCGTGACTACTGTTGGTTGGATGTTTCTGCAGACATCCATCCTTGGCAAGATGTCAGAAGAACTTTTCCCTGGGGTGATTTAAGAGACAAGCCCCCTTTACCTTGAGCAGTGGGACGGACTAAGCAAGACAGAGTATTTAAGGAAGGAAAACCAGAAGTCCCAGGAAGAAGTTTAGTAAGAAGCATCATGTTCCCTGAAAGGACCAACTAAATCTTCTCCAAAGCTAAGGACTGAAACTACTCTTGTAAAGTAAGTATTTACATATATAACACCTGCATGCATTTTGATATTTTGATTTAAAAAAAACTTGGTTGAGTTCTTTGGGGTGACTTGTATTGCTTAGTCTGAAAAAAATGCTTCTTTTTTGAGAAAAGTTATAAGTTGCTGGTAGAACATATTCATGCCATGCAAAAAAAAATAAAAAAATCCTAGTGTTTTTCTTCCTGGCTTCTATTTTTGATGTTTTCAGTTTGGGATATTGCTAGTATAGGACAAGATCATGAACATACATTTTCTTCAGATTTGTTGGATGCCAGAACCCATCGGTTCTAACTCAGCCAATGACCGTGGACTGGTGGAGATCATTTCCAAACATCTAGTGCGTAACAGGTTGACCACCCTTTGGTGTTATAGATAGTACATCCATTCATTTGACTCAGTTTAGTTGAAGGCAGTATCCATTCTTATCACCCTAAGTGTTTTCTTTTGCTAACAATTATAAATTTTAATGAATTAAAGACATCTTTTTCCTCTCTATAATTTGCAATTCATCTCACAGGCTAAATATTCTCATCATCATCAGCTGTAAAGAACAGGCAATGCCACCCCAAGTGCAAACACGAATGAATACCACTCCAAAAGTGGTCCAAGGAGACTTGAAGAGCCTGTCGCCCAATGTGAGAAAGTTCATTGAAAACAATGCCAAGCTGTGCCAACCGAAGGCCATCCACATCTGTGATGGATCAGAGGATGAGAACAAAAAGATCTTAGAGCTCATGGTGGAACAAGGCATGATCAAGAAGCTTAGAAAATATGAAAATTGGTAAGAGACCACTATTGTATGCTATGCAAAGCCAAATATATGATCCACTGCACAACGTCCTTTCCTTAAGGGTTTCCCCAACTTAACGGTAGTATATGGGCTTGAACGAACTTTTCTCTCCTTTGCATTTCATCCCTTATTCTAGCATTGTCCAAAAGCATCCTGAAAGTGTGTACAAAACCTTTGGAGGGACATCTAGAAGTAACCAGGAAGAGAGATAATAGAGATAAGATAGGGATCAGCTATGGGGCAGCAAATGTGATGCTAGACTAAATCAATGAAGGATGGAGAGCAATTCAGCTCAGCAGTGTGGAGCTGTCCATAAGTAGCCAGTGTGTTAATACCATTAATTTAATGTTCTTCCTGGATAGTTCAATGTAGGGACGAATAAAAACCGAAGTTCCCTTTCTTTTTTTCTACATTATTCCAATACAGAACTGCCACTCTTTAATTGATGTGCCATATTTTTAGTGGCTACGTAGCTATCAAAATATCAATAGATAAAGATTTTCTCATTATTGAATGTCTTAGCTGGAGAAAACCTCAGATAGCAATATTTCTCAAAATCATTAGTTTTCTTCTAAAAATACCACCTTTCTTTGTCACTTTACAGTCATTCTGATTTTTAATTTTTGGGATCTATCTTCTTCGTGTAGAAAAGATGAAATAAAATCAAGTAATGCATTCAACCTTTGTACGCAGATTTAAATGTAACATGATTTAAGCAATGGGTGTGTGGGGGGTGGGTGGGTGGGGGTGGTTAAATCTGGTCTGGTGAAGCAACTATTAAGCAAATTTCTAGAAACTGGTATATAGAGTGCAGACTGGCTCTCCCCTTTCCCAAACTTTATGGAGAAATTTTATAAGTCCATTTCTTCAACTGCTTAAAAGAATAATTACACAGGCAGCACATTAAGAACACAAAATAAAACAGACAATTTAGCTGGAACCTAGAAGAATAAGCCAATAAGACAGTTATCTCCATTTTAGTTTCCTGGTTCAATGATACTTAGATTTGCTAGTACTTGATACCACAGACTTCTCATGCCACAGATCAAATTCCAGTGCAATTTATGCCAATTCAACAATAACACCAGTTTGCGATTAGCACAAATTATGCAATCACACCCATATAGTAATGTAAATTGATCCATGTAGCATAGTTTGCATCTTTGGCTTTATTGCAATGAAGGGCTTTTTGATTTACCAGACTTTGGTGAATAATGGAACCCTCTTCCCTACAATTAGAGGTTAAATACATTAATTGGAGGTTAGTTGAAATGTATTCATTTCATGTATTCATAACTATGTATATACTTACACCTATTATCTTGTAAGCGATTGACAAATCAAATCTGAGGGTTGTAGGCGGCACGTGAAATCATGCCCCCTCCAGGCCATGGAAAAGTCTCTCTTCACGAAACCGCTGTCCTAAAGATTCTCCTGGACTGAAAGTATCTTGAGATCTCCTCTCTAATATTCCAGTGATGGACTCTGAAAATTCCATTCTAGAAACTCTAGAAGTTTTAATGTTTGGAAGTAAATATAAAGCATCTGGAAGTTTTAATGTTTGGAAGTAAATATAAAGCATCCGGAAGTTTTAATGTTTGGAAGTAAATATAAAGAGGCATTTCCATTATTTTTCATTCCAATTAGAAACGGGGAATGCACAGCACTATTTTAGATAATGAGGCGGTTATTGCCTATCTCATCTCCTTTCTGCTTCTCCTCCCTAAAAAAGATAGCTAAGAACCTAGCAGGAGTTGGGCTCCATTTTTGAAATGTCTCTGTACAGAATAAAGTCATTTTTATTAGCAAAACATCACCAGAAGTAAATGGTTTGACTGCACTTAAATAAGTAATATTCCTTTCACGATCCAGCATTGTATGGTGCTAGACTGCCTTGAGATAAAGAGAAATTGAATTGGATTTCTGTCATTTTTATTGCTCACATGACAAGTGTAAATGTTCAGCTTCTTGTCTCCACAGCTGGTTAGCCTGCACCGATCCAAGGGACGTGGCCAGAATTGAAAGCAAAACTGTAATTGTGACTCCAGAGCAGCGAGACACCATCCCAATCCCCCAAAGTGGAGTGAGCCAGCTGGGACGGTGGATGTCAGAAGAAGACTTTGAGAAAGCCTTCAGGATCAGATTCCCCGGGTGCATGGAAGGTAGACACACACACACACACACACACACACACACACACAAACAAACAATTTTATGGTTAGAAGTAAAATACTGCAGCTTCCTACCTGTGGTGAGATAGCAATAGCACTTAGATTTATATACTTCTTCATAGTGCTTTACAGCCCTCTCTAAGCAGTTTACAGAATCAACATATTGCCCCCAACAATTTGGGTCCTCATTTTACCCACCTCGGAAGGATGGAAGGCTGAGTCAACCTTGAGCCTGGTGGGATTCGATCTGCCAAATTGCAGTAGGAGTAGCTTGCAGTACTGCACTCTAACCACTGCGCCACCATGGCTCTTCAGATAGAAGATATAGAAAAGGGGTCTTCAAACTTGACAGATTTAAGACTTGTGGACTTCAACTCCCAGAATTCCTCCTCCAATCATGTTAGCTCAGGAATTCTGGGAGTTGAAGTCCACGAGTCTTAAACTTGCCAAGGTTGAAGACCCTTGACTGATAGAAGAACATTGCTTCAAAGATGTTCACAAAATGGGTTTTTTGTTTGTTTGTTCCATGGCTAAGCAGTCCTTGTAAGCCCAATAAAAAGAGCAAATTCTGCTAATAATAGAATGAGTGTGAACATCACAGTCAATGGCGCTTTTATTATATAATTATTTTTACCTCTGGAAAACCAGTAGAATGGTTTACTTATAGTTGTGTTTGGGTGGGCCTATAATGCCAGTTATTTAATACTCTCTTTAGATTTGCTAGACTACTCAGAAGTCACATCTGGATTTGGATGGACAGAAGTATGTAACTCTTGAACTACTGTGGTAGAGCTGTGGTGGCGCAGTGGTTAGAATGCAGTATTGCAGGCTGACTCTGCCCACTGCCAGGAGTTTGATTCTGAGCAACTCAAGGTTGACTCAGCCTTCCATCCTTCCAAGGTTGGTAAAATGAGGACCCAGATTGTTGGGGGCAATACGCTGACTCTGTAATCCACTTAGAGAGAGCTGTAAAGCACTGTGAAGCGGTATATAAGTCTAAGTGCTAATTGCTATTTCTACTGTTTTAGAATTCAGTCATCTACTTCTTAAAATGTATTTCGTGAAGGATTGGAATGGCCCAGACTGATCTTCAACAAATAAAGTTGTACTACAGAGCGCTGTTGTTCAGCTCCTCTGTTTCCTTCCCCGATAACCCTCCTAGAGAGCTGCTCTTCCCTTTATTTTTTTCAGATATCTTCCCTTGGGGATGTTCAAGAATTTCTGCAAAACTTAAAGGTTTCCCAACATTATTGACATGCCCACTTTGATGATCAAGTTGTCATATCTGCCTTTCGAACCTCCTTAGTGAGACTACAGTTTCCACAAAGATAGAACGAGACTGCAATCTACACTTATCTTCTAAACTTAAATTTGGAAGAAGCTTAATGATATACTGCTGGAATTTGGCATACATTGGCAGTAAAACATGGGACTGTAGAGTAGTAATCAATAAATCCAACTCCCATTAACTGGCAGAATGTTTGTTTAATTCTTCTGAATTTGGAATCTGGCCCTGACATGCTGATTTTGCCAGATGTTACCTAGTATTAAAATGATTTGTACCCAAGTTCTGTAAACAAAACAAAACCTTTACCCATAAATGTGTATTTTATTGGAGACAGAGGAAAAGAGTATCAAATGAGGAGCAGCCTTCATTAACCTGCTTCCCCCAGATGTTTTGAACCTGAACTCCCATGCTGGCTCAGAATGATGGGAATCCAGTCCAACTGCAAGCTGTCTGAATGGGGAGAATAACAGAATTGGAAGGGACCAAGTCCAACCACCTGCTCAAGCAGAGGACTCTATACCATTTTGGATAAATGGCTATCCAATCTTTTCTTAAGACTAGTATGATAACTTAACAGTAACTGTGTGAGGGATCTTGGAGTCTTAGTGGACAACCAGCTAAATACGAGCCAGCAGTGTGCAGCGGCAGCCAAAAAAGCTAATGCAATCCTAAATTGCATTAACAGAGGGATACAATTAAGATCAAGTGAGGTACTAATACCACTCTATAAAGCCTTAGTAAGACCACACCTAGAGTACTGCATCCAGTTTTGGTCACCACACTATAAAAAGATATTGAGGCTCTAGAAAAAGTACAGAGAACAGCAACCAGGATGATTAAGGGACTGGAGACAAAAACATATGAAGAACAGTTACAGGACATGGCTAGTCTAGTGAAAAGAAGGACCAGGGGAGACATGAGAGCAGTCTTCCAATATTTGAGAGGCTGCCACAGAGAGGAGGAAGGGGTCAAGCTGTTTTCTTAAGCACCTGTAGGCCAGACAAGGAATAATGGATGGAAACTGAACAAGGAGAGATTTAACCTGGAAATAAGGAGAAACTTTCTGACAGTGAGAACAATCAACCAATGGAACAACTTGCCCTCGAAAGTTGTGGGAGTGCCATGAGTTGAGACTTTCAAGAAGAGATTGGACTACCATTTGTCAGAAATGGTGTAGGGTCTCCCGCTTGGGCGGGGGGTTGGACTAGATGACCCATAAGGTCCCTTCCAACTCTGATTATCTGTTATCTATTAGTAGAGATTTATAATTTTGTTTAAGATTCTATCCTCTGTTTCTCTTCTGCAGGTCGTACTATGTACGTCATCCCATTCAGCATGGGACCGATTGGTTCTCCTTTATCCAAGTTTGGGATTGAGCTGACTGATTCTCCTTACGTGGTGGCCAGTATGAAAATTATGACTCGTATGGGAACATCTGTCCTAGAGGCTCTGGGTGATGGAGAATTTGTAAAATGCCTCCATTCAGTTGGGTGCCCTTTACCATTAAAAAGTAAGCCATTCTTAAGCTAAAATGTACTTTGTTCATCCCCTCTTTCCCAAAAGATAATTGTCGTTAATTTATTTACCGAGCAGAATATTCAGAGTGCTCTAGTGATAAAGTTGCCAAGTATCTCTTTGAATAAGAGATGCTAAGTTGGGACTGGTTGGTCATTAAATGCAACAAACCAGAAATTATTCATTAAAGAAAGAACCAACAAAGCATTCCTAAATATTTTGGGGTTCTTCCAAATGACTTAATTGTAGCTTGGATGAGAAAATTAAGTGCAATCTGGCCCACTGTTTCCCATTACATCTTTTTCTCAAACCACCCATGAAGAATTAGCTTTTTTCAAAGAACGTGGTCTACTACAAGCTACTGTAGCACTGTTAGCTAACCAAATAACTCTGCACCGTACTACAACTCAACTTTTATTTACCGGACAGAAGGGAAAGGAATACAGGTAGTCCTTGACTAACGACTACAAAATTTTGAGCCCAAAATTTTTGTTGCTAAGTGAGACGTTTGTTAAGGGATTTTTCCCCCCCATTTCACAACCTTTCTTGCCACATTTGTTAAGTGAGTAACTGCAGTTGTTAAGTTCGTAACAGGGTTCTTAAATGAATTTGATTTCCCCATTGAGTTTGCTGGTCCGAAGACCGCAAAAGGTGATCTGAGGACTCCAGGAGACGGAAACTGTCATAAATACATGTCAGTTGCCAAGCATTTGAATTTTGATCTCATGCAGGGGTGGGGTGCTGAGGGTCCACAGGGTTTTGGGAGAGCCCCTAGCAAAGGTTCTATGCAGTTTGGAGAAGCCCCAAATCCCACTCCTGGCTGGCCCCGCCCGCCCCACCCCTCCCTTCCCATGTGGCCCATTTTGGATGCAGGTAAGTGCAGGGTGCGCGTGGATGCTCGAGGAGGGTGAAAAATGGGCCTTCGGAAGTTCAGGAAGGCCAGAAATGGGCCTGTTTCCGGCTTCCAGAGAGCCTCTGGAGCTCGGAGAGGCCATTTTCGCCCTCCCGAGGCTCAAGAAAAGCCTCCAGAGCCCGGGGAGGGCAAAAACACTCCCCCCCCTACTGTGGTGCAGGAGGCCAACTAGGCCACGCCCACCATGGCCAAGCCCACCCAGCAACCGGGCAGAGAACCCTTTGTTAAAAATTTTTTGCAGCCCACCCCCGATCTCATGCTCATGGGATGCTGCAATGATCATGTGAAAAATGGTCATAAGTCACTTTTTCCTGTGCTGTTGCAATTTTGAACAGTCACTAAGTGAACTGTTGTAAGTTGAGGGCTAACTGTATATTCATGCTGTCTAGTTTCGAAAGGGTACATGGCAAAAATACAAAAATAAATAAATAGATGTAACTTATATTCAGGTGATCAATCAGAAGTAACCAACTCTCTTTTGCATTTTGTAGAGCCTCTAGTGAATAACTGGCCGTGCAATCCAGATTTGACGTTGATTGCTCACATCCCTGATCACAGGGAGATCATTTCTTTTGGAAGTGGCTACGGGGGAAACTCCCTTCTAGGAAAGAAGTGTTTTGCTCTTAGAATTGCCAGCAGGATCGCCAAGGAAGAGGGCTGGCTTGCAGAGCACATGCTGGTGAGTTTTAGTAACTAGATTATTTTTAATAACTAGATTATTTTCAATTCCAGTCAATAGACTAAGACATCAATCCGGGGCCAGCATGGCTATAAACCCATGAATGAAAATTCACGATTGCTTAGTTCCTCCTGGAACTCATCTCTGGACTTGTGTATGAGTTTTTAAAAAAGGAGAAGGATTTTCACTGAATCCTATTAGAATGTTTTGATAGATAAGCATCCATTGGGAAAAAGAAATATTTAAATATTGTGGGTGTGGCTTGGTGGGCATGGCGTAGCTTGGCAGGCATGGCTTGGTGGGCGTGGCAGGGGAAGGATACTGCAAAATCTCCATTCCCTCCCCACCCCATTAACCTGCTTTCCAGCTACGTTCCCTCTCCAGGGCAACAAAAGAAGACCCAGCCGATCAGCTTGGACTCAATGGGAGGCAGAGAATAGATGGGGGCGGGGCCAGTCAAAGGGGGCATTTGCTGGTTCTCCGAACTACTCAAAATTTCCGCTACCAGTTCTCTAGAACTGGTCAAAACCTGCTGAATACCACCTCTGAACCAGAGTCATTGAGGCTAGGTAGCAGACATGTATTTATTTATAACATGTATGTTCTGTTTCTCATCTCAAAGTGGAATTTTCTCAAACAGCTAAAAGTATAGGCATTCTGAAAAAAATGTATGTACATCTATACCAGGGGTTGGCAACCCGCAGCTCTGGAGCCGCATGTGGCTCTTTCATCCCTCTGCTGCGGCTCCCTGTTGCCGGTTGGTGCCACAATTTTGAGAGGAGTTTCTGGTTAGGGGGTGGGAAAACATGGAGTGCCAGGAAGAGACTCTATGGCAAGGGGCAGGTTTTCCGGTCGGCTCCACAATTGATAGGGCTTTCGGTTAGGACAGGTATAGGAAAAAGGACGCCGCACTAGGAGGAGACTCTATGGTGGGGGAACTGGACTTCTGGTCGGCTCCAGAATTGAATGGGGGGACTTCCGGTTAGGACCTTTGTGGCTCTTTGAGTGGTTGCTGACCACTGAATTCTATACAATTTTAGCACAGTGTAAACTAGAGGTGTCCAACCTTGGTTACTTTAAGATTTGTTGACTTCAACTCCTTGGTAACTTCAACTTCATGCTGTGGCTGTGGTATCTGTGCGTTGAAGTCCACAAGTCTTAAAGTTGCCAAGACTGGACACCCCTGGTGTGAACTATAATCTTACATTCCTTGAACTATATTTCACCTGCAACAAGGCTAGTTGAAGTCACATACAATTTCAGAATAATGACAAATTTGGAAGTTGCCATTTAGAATATCTTCACGTTTTTGCTTGATGCTGCATGTTGAGTTTTTTTGGGGGGGAAAAACATTGTTTGTGTTTTTAAACAGATTTTAGGTATCACAAATCCAAAAGGTGAAAAAAAATACTTTGCGGCAGCGTTTCCTAGCGCTTGTGGAAAAACCAATCTGGCTATGATGAATCCATCTTTGCCAGGATGGAAAGTGGAATGCGTTGGAGACGATATTGCTTGGATGAAATTCGACGACAAAGGTAATTTACTTAGAATTCAGCTGGGAGTTGATGATCCAAAGCTGCGTTCCAGTAAGGTGGGGAAACTATAGTCGTCTATATTTTTTCCCTCCCATCAATTGTGGTGTTGTTCCAAGAAGGGAAAAGGTAATGATTAATTTGTACACATTTGAGACAGGCATTTGTGTGCACTATTTATTTATTGAATTTATATCCTTGGGCAGTCAAAATCGACTTTGCGGTCTGCATGATATAAGGCAACAGTAAAATATACACGGCATAAATTAAAAACTTCTAAAACAAAATGATTTCATAAGTTACACCCACTTACCAGTAAAAAATAAATTGATGGCAAAATCCAAGCTAGAATGCTTTACAAAACAATTCGGTTTTAAGTTCTGGGAGCCTCAGAAAGGGGACAGTTCAATTTCAACTGTGAGATTATTCCAGTGAGCTACTCAGCTTGCCAGAAGTAGGGACAATAAGCAGTTTTTGCTGCAATTACCTTATAAATCATACCAGTTTTAGTTGGAGTCAAGGGTTTTTCAAATGCCAAGCCCTGGATGTTAGAATGATTGTTCTCCAAGGGCTTTCTCTAATGTTCTGGATTTCTTTATAGAATGAGAGGTGGTGGAGGATGTGGCAAGATGTGGCAAGCCCTTGAACTATACGAGACTGAGTTGTTTACAAAAATGGGAGAATATTCCAACATTCCCAGGAGAGAATACAGTGGCAATTAAAAGGGCGGGGTGGGAAATAGGGCATTTTGTGAATGCAGGTGATTCAGTGAAGGAGGGGAAGAATCCTAAATGATCATTTAAGAGACTCATAATATTTGAATTTTGGTTGTTCCAAAGTTAAAGTAATCTGCCCCCATGCTGTCACTGTCCTCCCATGCCAGCTTAAATTTTAGGAGCGGTATTCAACCCAAGTGTAACAGATGGAATTAAGGAATACAAAAATCATAGATGTGAAAAAAAAGGAAAGGTATATGGGTAAAGACTAGGTTGATGAATAGTAATAGCACTTATATACCGCTTTATAGTGCTTTATAGACCTCTCTAAGTGGTTTACAGAGTCAGTCTATTGCCCCCAACAATCTGGGTCCTCATTTTACCCACCTCGGAAGGATGGAAGGCTGAGTCAACCTTGAGCCTGGTAGGATTTGAACTGCCAAATTGTAGGCAGCTGGCTGCAGAAGTAGCTTGCAGTACTGTACTCTAACCACTGCGCCACAGAGCTCCTTTATGTTGTTTATGAATGTTCAGAGGTAGGTCCCAAAGGTGCTTTTTCAAAAGGCAACTGGACTTCCTTTGCTTTTTCTGGAAGACATTTTGCTCCCTCACATCCCGGACATAAACTGTTTCAACTCCTTCCCTCAAAATAACGCTATAGAGCACTGCACCCCAGAACAACTAGATACAAGGACAGTTTCGCCCCCCAAAAAACTGCAAAAAAAATAATTCCCTCAACACTGTTCAACTATTACAAAGTCTGCACTACTATTACTGTTAATCTTCTCATCACTCCTATCACCCATCCCCTCCTTCTTGTGACCGTATGACTGTAACTTTGTCGCTTGTATCCTTAGGATTTATACTGACTGTTTCTTAGTATGATTTGATTGCTTAATGTACCCTATGACTATCATTAAGTGTTGCACCTTATGATTCTTAACTCTTGATGAATGTATCCTTTCTTTTATGTACACTGAGAGCATTTGCATCAAGACAAATTCCTTGTGTGTCCAATCACACTTGGCCAATAAAGAATTCTATTCCTATTCTATTCTATTCTATTCTATTCTATTCTATTCTATTCTATTCCATTCCATTCCATTCCATTCCATTCCATTCCATTCCATTCTATTCTATTCTATTCTCATCCAAGAAGCTTCTTCAGTTCTTGGATGAGAAGCGAAACATCTTCAAGCAAAAAGAAAGTTCTGTTGCCTATTGAAAAAGCATCTTTGGAACAACAATGACTTTGGATGGCTGAGAATCTCTATAGACATTCAGAGGGAGGAGAGTAAGTTGTGAGGAATGGACAGAAAGAAGAGATGATGATAATAGAAAAGTTTCCTGCTGCCTCTCTGGCATCTGAGCCACCTTGTGAATGATATCTAAAGGTAGCATCTTACCTAATGTTTCCTAGGTAATTTAAGAGCCATCAACCCAGAGAATGGCTTTTTTGGAGTTGCTCCTGGAACCTCTGTGAAAACCAATCCCAATGCTATGAAGACAATAAAAAAGAATACAATCTTCACCAACGTGGGAGAAACTAGTGATGGAGGCGTATATTGGGAAGGTATCGATCAGGAGCTTCCACCAGGAATCACTCTCTTGTCTTGGAAAAAGAAAAAATGGACTGCTGAGAATGGTACGAAGGAGACCCATCCTTCCATTTCTCTATTATTTGAGTTGCATTTTGGGTTACTGCATTGATGAAAATGTGACATATATTTGTCTGAATATATTTGAACAGAAGAGCCTTGTGCTCATCCCAATTCCCGATTCTGCTGTCCTGCTAGCCAGTGTCCTATTATTGATCCTGCCTGGGAAAATCCAGAAGGCGTCCCAATTGAGGGGATCATATTTGGAGGACGGAGACCTGAAGGTAACAACCGAAAATTAAGATAACCGTTCCTGCAAGCTTAAAAAAGTATCAAAAACAATTTAGAGTCATTGGGGTAAATTACGTTGTCTGAAAAGTTAGGAAAAAATTGATAAACATGGGGGACAAATTACATTAAGGAAAAGAAGAGGGGAAAAAATAACAAAAGCACCCCATAAAAGATGGCTATCCTGTCTTTTCTGTGCCTGAGGTACAGAGTTAATTGTCTTAAATTATAAGAAGTCCGATTTCAGTTAAATATTACAAATTAACAATCAGGGTGGCTTGATGCTAGACTAGTGACAGTCCATTTCCTCATTAGTGACTTAATGGCATCTTCATAGCACCACTCAGTCCCATTGCAGTGATATGAAGCCTATCATTCATTACGGCTATTTTACTTTGATGACTCTAGAACAGTGATGGCTAACCTTTTCCATGTCACATGCTGAAAGTGCGCTCGCGTGCCTGCCCCCATGATGCACTGTGCATGCGACCCCCTGTGTGCACTGTACGCCTCTGCGCATGTGCACATGACCCAATCTGCGCCATGCGCCTCTGTGCATGCAAACTCCACACACTCTGTGCGCCTCTGCACATGTGCACATGACCCCCACGTGCCCTGCACAGGCACGCACGTCTCTTGCACGCGCATCTCCCCCCACACATGCGTGACATACCCAACAATCAGCTGGCTGGCGGGGGGCACACATGCATGCACAGTGGGGCTGTTCCGGGTGATCTCTCGCGTGCCGGCAGAAATGGCTCTGTGTGCTACTTTGTGCCATAGTGCGGCTTTGCTCCGCATTAGGAAGGCTTCTCACTGGGTGGTCAAATGCATCAAGAAAGACTCCAGGCAGGTTCTATCTTGGGTGAGCTGCCCCGATCACGAGCTCGGGAAGCTCTTTTATTAAAAACACACAGTGATACGTCACAAGCGGTGAATTCTATCCAATCATTATGTTACATGAGTAGAAATATTAGTGCACACATAATAACATCCAATCACAGTGTTATATGTTCATTTTAGTAGGTACAAAGTAGCCAGTCAGCGTTTGCAGTCCAGTTATAGCCCATGATGACGTGTTGATTGATGTTTTTTGTTCCTGGTACGCTTTCAGCCTACGTGAGGCCTGGCCTGTACCGAAACTGTAGAAGCTAATTTATTACTGCACCATAGGTTTGCCATCACGGCTCTAGAAGTTGTACAGCGAAATGACCAGAGAGAGAAGACAGGTCCCCCTTTTCTGGTTATCTTTATGCCTGTCTCCCAGAGATGCCTTAATTTGAATTCCTTCTTTGAACAGAGAGATTGAATTAAGTGGCCACTTCTAAGCCATGATTCTAGGCCACCGGCAATTTTTCAAAGTCAGCTAGGCTGCTGCAGGAAAGAAGGACATTTCATAGCAGAATATCTGATATGGTGGGAAGTGGAGTCCCAACGTTTCTATAGGGCAAGAACTTAATATGTCTTAGATTTAGACTTAGAATAACTTCATTGTCACTTTGAATGAACACTAATCAACTTACATTAAAATACAGCTCTCAAATGGTCTCCATCTCCAGTATATTTATATGTCTAGCTGTAGTTCATTCGCAAACCATAATAGCTTTCATGCAGTGGTGTGATTCAGCCAGTTCACACCGGTTCACATGAACCGGTTGTTAAATTACACACAACACACACCCCACTATCAAAGTGGATCCTGTATGTTGCGCTGCAATGAAGAAACGGGCAATGGAGCGACTGCTCTCTTTCCCATTTCTCCATTGCAGTGCAGCACCCAGGATCCACTTTGATAGTGGGGGGAGCGTTTAACAACCAGTTCGTCAAGGGTCAGGTTGGTTGTCACAGGAGGCTCATCCCACATGTGCGGCGGAGCCGGAGAACAGGGATAGGCCACGCCTCTCATGACAGCCAACCTGACCCTGGGCGAACCGGTTATTAAATTATTTGAATCCCACCACTGCTTTCATGGTATATATAGAAATTATAGAATAGTTCTTAACCTTTGGTCAGAGAAAGTTGCATTTTCCTGCCCTTCACAATACTGTACTTTCTTCCCATCCCAAGTATTACTCAGCAGTACCTTTGTAGAGGCAAAGGGTCCATAGCTAACATAAATCCCCTTCCCTGATTCTTTGTACCTTAAGATAGATAGAACTGTTTACATTCTGAATAGATTAGATAAGCCACAGGGAGGATGGCTATGCAGTGATCCCAAATTTACAAATGCTGGCGAACGTAAGCCAGCTGCTGCTGTGATCTAAAGCAACAAACTCAATTAGGTGCAGCACCAGTAACCTTTAAATATTCCAACCATTCTGTTTTCTCCAGGTGTGCCTCTAGTTTATGAGGCTCTTAACTGGCAGCACGGGGTATTCATTGGTGCAACAATGAGATCAGAAGCAACAGCCGCTGCTGAATATAAAGGTAAGTTAATGTGAAATAACACCTTGGCATTTAAAGTGCGTGGCTCATTATTTTCACCTAGAAATTCTGAACATTTGAAAGAACCAACCTTCCTTCCTTCCTTCCTTCCTTCCTTCCTTCCTTCCTTCCTTCCTTC